TGTTGGTATAATTTGGGGAGGGGAAGAGAAAAAATAAATTGTTTAAATAGGGATACAGGTTGACCCATTGCAACAATGAGATGTACAAGACGTTATGTCGAAAAATGAACTTTAGAACTTTAGCGGGTGGCGGGAGGGTTGAGAGGGCAGGAATGGTAAGGGGAAACAAAGGAGGAGGCAACAATGCTTGATAAGAAATATACTCATTACCCTGCTCATGTAATTGTAACCCCTCTGTACAGTATTTTCACAATAAAAAAAAACAAAAACAAAACAAAACAAAAAATTTTATTAAGTTTTTTTATTGTGAAAATACTGTACAGAAGGGTTACAATTACATGAGCAGGGTAATGAGTATATTTCTTATCAAGCATTGTTGCCTCCTCCTTTGTTTCCCCTTACCATCCCATCCTTCCCCCGCTCCTCCACGCAACCCTCCTCCCCACCCCCCCCCAACAAAGTTGTAAATTTCGTTTTCGACATACGACTTGGACGTCTCATTGTTGCAATGGGTCCACCTGTATCCCTATTTAAACGATTTTTCCCTTCCCTTCCACAAATTATAACAACATAACCCTACTTTCACTGTATTTGATGTTGTTAAAAAAATTTTTTAAAAGATGAAACTTGAGAAATAAGCAGGAGAGACTAGGGATGAGAGAGGACAGCATGCAGAGCATGTACAATAGTCCTGAGGTAGGAAAGTGCATAGGACATTCAAACCCTTGAGAATGAAATGCATTGAAGCTGACACATGATGAGCAAGAGTCCAAGAAGCAGGCTTGTAGCTAAAAATAAGAGTACAACACTAATGTTTTAAACAGCAAATTATATGATATACAACAGAGATATTCTAGCAATGTCACACTAACAGCTATGTTGAAACCAATTAGGAGAAAGGCAAAATTTTCAGTGGGAGAAACAAGCTAAAAGGAAACTGTAATGGTTAAAGAGAAAGGCCAGGGTGGCACAGAGTAACTCATCGGCAGTATAGATTGAAGTAAGTAGACTTGATGTATATAGTTGTGATTGAGGTAATTAATGACCTTTCCTAGATCAATTTCAATGCATTATTCAAGCAAAGTCATGACTGCTATTGGTTGAACAGTGAGTGAGAATTAAGGAAGCAGAGAGCAAATGGAGATTAATCTTTGAAGAAGCTAATGCTAGGAAATGAAGAGACGTAGTAGCTATCAAGAGATCTCAGGGTCAGTGATGCATTGTCATTCATCCATCCATTTACTCATTCATTTTTAGGAAGCATGTGACTTCAGAATGTTCTTTCTCAAGGGCACAGTAGAATTAGATAAAATGAACAAACAATAGGATAACTAATAGTAGTAAAGAATGCTAGAAATATTGCTGCTCTAAAAGAGGCAGGTAATAATGACACTCAAGGCAGAGGTAAGAAAATTAACGTGTAATAGTAGAACATCTACATGTCTCTCTACTCCTTTTCTCTCTCTCTCTCTCTCTCTCTCTCTCTCTCTCTCTCTCACACACACACACACACACACACACACACACACACACACACACACACATTTTCTTTCTCAGTAAGTACAGTATCCAAAAGCTTTGCTATGAGTTCAGAGTATCTGGGATGAATTCTGCAGCTACTATTTACTATGCTACTTATTCTTGATTGGCTTCAGTTACTTCATCTGTAATATGAGCAAATAACATGAAGTTTCTCTTACCACATAAGATGATGCAAGTAAATGCTTACAAACTATAGAACACAGTAAGTACCATTTAGATTTGTTGCAATCAATACTAAAATTAATAATGATATTAGTGATAATAATTTTTTCTCAGGTTTCATAGAATTCATAAATAAAAGACATGAGTTTAGCTATGTAACTGGGAAACTGCTTGCCTTTGCAAGTATCAAATACTGGATTTTAATTCTAAACACAGTAAGAAAAAAATCATTAAGACAAGTGCAGTAGTGTATTGTACTGAAGAGGGTCACTTGAATTCACAAATTGAACAATAGCCCTGACAATATGAGACTACATCTCAAAAACACAAAAGCAAAACAAAAGATGTGGACAGAGATAACTTTCCAGGTACATTTTTTCTTGGCAAGCAAGAATTAGTGGTAGCTGTGTGCCAGTGGATAGATTCTGCAATTCTAGTTCCTCAGGAGATTGAGATTTGGAGAATTCATAGTTTGAAGCCAATATAGGCTGAAAAATCTGAGAGACTAAAATTGTAATCAACAAAAAGCAGTTAAGGGGGCATGTTTCAAGTAGTAGAGTACCATCAAGACAACTTAAATGGAATGGAGTTCAAACCCCAGTACGGTCAGTAAAAAATATTTGTGTTGATGAAAAAATGGAGAGGAGTCAAAGGACTTGGACAAAGTAAGAAATAAATGAATGAAGTAAAGGAAAGGCAGAATGAGAATGTAAAAGTCTTGAATCGTAAATTCAGGGAGATATTGAAGCCATATGATACAGAAATCACTTGACAGACTTTTTATTTTGGCAGGGGGAAGTCTTCAGGCTTCAATTCAAGGCCCAAGCATTTATGTTTAAAGCTAGTGCTTGATCTCCACTTCCAAATGAGAGTCTCACAGACTTCCCTACCTGAATTGTCTTTGAACCACTGTACTCAGATCTCAAGGTCTTGAATAGCTAGGATCACAGGCATGATCCACGAGCACCAGGCTAACAAACAAAATGCACAGTAAAGAGTAGATGGGGGAAGAAAACAGACACTAAGTGTCTCTGTAACCTGAGTGTCATTTGTACAAATGATTTGTTTTATCAAAGCCGTCTTCATTTCAGAATGTTGATGAATAAGAGTAAAAAAGAATGCTACTGTCTAAACAGAGAAGTCATTGAATTTTGAAATGTTTTAGCAAACTTTAACAGATGTAAAGTATGCTAATTTTAAATTGCAGTCTCAAATTACAGATAATAATCATTTCGTAATTCAACTCAATAATCATTTACTGTCTACTTTGTATGAAATACAGGTCTAAGCACAGCAAAGCACATATTTAAATGACTATGGCAAATTATTCTTTCAAAATATTATACATAAGATGAGTTTACCTAAACTTTATGTGATAACTCTTGAATAATACAGTTGCAGGGAATTTACATAGTATACAATGCCTTGCAATGTCCTTGACTCTTTTCCCCATAGACATGAAGCTTCAGTACAGGGAGAGTAAATAAGAAGACTAAATGGATTCATGTACACAGTGTCCTAGAATTATTTACGGTTATGTGCATAAACAAGAAATCTTTTCCACTTTCTCTTTTGCCTTTAGTTCAGAAGGTATATTGCTCTTTATGTCCCCAAAATTCATTTCATCAGTGTGGTACCAAGAATACGCTTCTTGAAGTACTAGCCTGGCAAACTAATACATCTTCCAAGATAAACTGCACAAAGGAAAAAAGAATAACTTCAGAGAAACTGTGTAGTGTACCTACTGTAAAAGAAACATGACTCAGCTGAATTCTTTGATAGTGGATAGCTTCATTTCAATTATAGTGTGAATTTGAGTAGTATAGGTTTCAAGTGAGGGGTCTAAAAACTGTTATTATTTAACATTGTGAGAAAGTGTGTATGATTAAACAGTATTTAGCTAAATCAGTGGACCAACAAACAGATCTGCACAAAAAGAAGGGAAATAAATGCTTCAGGTTTAGTGCTATGCTATATTTGATCCCAAGTACACACGACTGATTTCTTTTCAGAGATTTGATAGAATCCTTCTTTGTTCATGTAAGCAATGCTATATCTAGAATTAAAGAACTCTAAATATGGGCAAGGAGTTATTGCTCATGCTCAAAAGAAACCAGCTCAGGTTCATTCAGCATAATTTGAGTTTAAATAGAATTTTTTAAATGCAAACTATCAAAACAACTCAATTATAATGGAGAACTATTTGAAAAGATTATAGAATATTTTAAATGAAGCAGGATAGGTCTGAATATCAGGTCTATGTGGCAAGTTTTAAATTTTTGTTAGACAGATGGAAGATATTCAGGGAGCTAAAGTAAAGCTTGTAACCATAACAGAGCTGTTCATCAGAAAGCAAATAAATTTATATTGAACACTTAAATAAAAAAATAGCTTTTTCTCCCAGAAATTAAATAAATCATGATGCTCTTTTTCCTCTCACTTTTTGTCAATTATTTGAATAGCATGTTGGAGAAATGCTTAAAATATAGAACTATATCCTTTAATACATAATTCACACCTAGTCATCTTTTGAATCATATAAAATGAAAGGGGGATAAGGAAAAAAATTCGCCCCAATAATAAACACATGATGATTTAACCACATGAAGTGTATTGGTAAGATTTCTGCTTCAGCTGAAATTGTACATTGCAAGCTTTCCATCAATTAATGACATCTTACAGGAAATCTGAAAAGAGTTGTGCTTTTTCTATCACAAAATATAGTACAGAAAATGGTCCCTAGTATTTTGTTACTTATCTAGATAGTGCTCTTTTATTTTAGACTAAATGTTTCATGGCTGAAATCTAATAAAAGCAAAATTAGCACAATAGTACATATTATTTTGCATATGATAATCAATTAAAATAAGAGCCATAAAGAGCCTATGAAATATTTGGTCACATTTTATGAATGTAAAAATTAATTTTGCCATTTCTACACTACAAAAATATAATAGGTATATTAATATGATAATAATATACTAAGGAATATTGCAGTTAATTATGTGGATACATAGTAGCAAAACACATCATCAATTGAAATGTCTTTCTTCCAGCAAGACTTGTTTTGTTTTTTGTTGATCTCAAGGCTAATGCTCTACCACTTGAGCCACAACACCACTTCTGGTTTTTCATGATTATGTGGTGCTGAGGAATCAAACCCAAAGCCTCATGCATGCAAGGCAAGCGATCTACCACTCAGCCATTTTCCCAGCCCCTGAAATGTCTTTCTTTTTACTGTTCTGATAAGTTATGTCTGCTAGCTGAATTTGTGGTCCTACATATTCAATACATACCACAACTCCAAACTGCTCAGACTCACAGAGGTCATCATATTCATTCTTCAGCTGCGCTAGTTCATTAAGTGTTTTCTGCTCAGGAAGATGCTTCACAAGATTCTAAAAAGAAATAAAAGAATAGAAGGTTAGTGGTTTGTTATTAGGATATACACATGAACAATTCTAAACATAATTATCTTGTATAGCAAATTTTGGTTTGGATTTATGTTATAGTACAAAGTATCTCCCAAGAATCACCAAAAATGAGCTACAATAAAATATGAATAAAATGTACAAATTCATTTGGTTCACTCCATATGATAGTACACACATAGTAAATACAAGATAAGGTTGGTGCCAGTGGCTCAAGATCTGTAAGTTCAAAATACAAAACCAGCATACACAGCAAAGTCCACAAGACCCTCTCTCCTACTAACCAGCAAAAAGCCAGAAGTAGAGACATAGTGCAAATGGTAAAATACCTGCAATGAATGAAAAAGCTGAGCAAAACTGCAAGTCCTTTATTTCAAGTCCTAGTACCAGCATGTGCAGAGACAAGTAGCACATTTTTTCTCTCAGACACATGATAACATGCACAATGCTCTGTGCATATAGACACAAACTACCCGACTTAAGGACTATACGCTTAAGGAAAGAGTAGGATGGTGTAATTCCTATGAACAATTAATGAACTGTTTACCAAAATGAGTATCAGGAAGTGGAAGTGGGTTTTTTTTGTTTATTTGTTTTGCTTAATGGAGGAAGTAATGGAGGATACATGAATGGAGGGGTAAAGGGTGAGCAGATACAGTCATTATTTTCTATGTATATTATGCAAAAATTAAACTGAAAAAATTAGACTGCAGGGACTGGAGAGGGACTGCAGGGGGAGAGTGATGCAAGGAGTGACATTGGTTAAGATCAGCTGTTATGAATAAACTGGAACCTCTTTGTATGAAGACTTAATAATAAAACTTTTTACAAGAAAAGAAATGACCAGGCAGGAACAGCTCATTCCCATAATGCTAGCTATTCAAGAGGCTGAGATCTTGAGAATTGAGGTTCTAAGCCAGCCCAGGCAGGAAAGTCTATGATACACTTATTTGCAATTAACAACACAAAGCTGGAAGTGAGCTGTGGCTCAAATGGTCAGCACTAGACTTGAACACAAAAAAGCTCAGGGATAGTACCTAGGCTCTGAATTCAAGACCTAGTACTAGAAAAACAAATGAAGAGACAGGAAAGATACTTTATATTGATGGAGAAATCTATATCCATATGTTGACATGAAAAAAACTATTTTATAAAAGGCAGTTTAGGGCTGGGAAGGTGGCTCAGTAGTAGAGCGCTTGCCTTGCAAGCCTGAGGCCCTAGGTTCGATTCCTCAGCACCACATAAACAAAAAGAAAAAAGCTGGAAGTGGAGCTGTGGTTCAAGTGGTAGGGCACTAGCCTTGAGCTGAAGAGCTGAGGGACAGCACCCAGGCCCAGAGTTCAGGCTCCACAACCGGACCAAAATAAATAAATAAAGTCAGTTTATGCTAACAAAGAAAAAAAGTGACTATTATACCTAAAATTAGAATTAAAAAGCAATCTATTACTGTTAGTTTTATACACACATGTAAAATTAGAATACTGTGAATAAGGATACATAATCAAATTAGTTAACATAGACAAAATGGACTAGACATATATAAACAATGAACAATTTCATAAATAGAAAATTTCTATAGACCTATAAAAAACAATGAGACAGAATAAGTCAGTAATCAAAACCTTCTGAACAGTGAGATGGCTAGGACATAATGGTTTCAGTAGTGAATTCTATGAAATATTTAAAGAATTAAAAGTGTTTATACTCAATGAAACAGGAAGAAAAGCTTCTGAACTCATTCTGTGAAGCCAATATGAGCCTATCCAAAGCTTCGCCAGAAAAGAAAAATAATATCTTTAATGAGCACAAATATAAAATTCTTGAAAAAATACTAACAAATGGAATTGCAGAGTAAAACAGAAGACTAAGTTGGATTTATCAATGGAATTGAAGTGTGATTGAATAAAGAAAACTAATAAATGCATTATACCACATTAATAAAGTCAAAACCCACACACTTATTTTAATTGATTATGAAAAAGCACTTTATAAAAATCAAACATCCTTAATTGGGAAAACACACTATAAAATAGAATTAAAGGAAGCTCTATAAACAAAATAAAGGTCATATATGAGAAAACTACAGCTGACATCATACTTAATGGAGACAGACTGAAGATTATATGCCAAGATAAACAAGAAAACAAGATGCCTGCTCTCACCACTTATATCCATTATATATTGAAGGTTCTAAAAAAAAGCAATTAGGCACATAATGAAAAAACTTATAAACTACTAAGGAAAAAGGAAAAATAATTTTGTTTTTGGATAAGAAGATCTTAGGGGAGGAAAACACTAGTCAGTCCATAAATATAACACCACACAAATATACAAATTAAGAAAACTTTGGGTATATATAGTAAGGAAGAAAAAAATCAGTTTCATTTCATTCATTTTATGATACTATCCAAACAGCACCTATAAAATATTACTTTACACTTAGGACTATCTTTTATACATCAAATGGACAATATCAATGGCAAGGAAATGATAACTGGAACTCTTTTGCACGGGTGGAGAGAGGGAATGTAAAAGTTTGGCCATCACAGAAAATAGTTTGATGGTAATTCCAAAATTAAACAGAGCTGAACCTACCAAATGCCTATGTACTTCTAAAACTATTATTATGGTTGTCATGGTGACATGGCCAAGAGCTGAGCTTAAACATGATTTCTGGATTTGTATGCAAGGGTATTCCTGTATCAGGTTAGAATTTGAGTTTGTAGACTCAATACAATAAATTGTCCTCTTCCATATCTGGGTGGACACTAGTCAATCGATGACCTGAATAGTATTAAGTGAAGTAAGCCAGGCCCAAAGAAACATAGGTCCCATGGTTTCCCTTATTTGCAATAACCAGTGTTTGTCTGAGTCAAGCAGAAAAGGTCAGATAAGTTGATGTTAGGGAAATGAGCCCCAAGATAAGGATTCAAATATTTTTTAATGCAATTGCTTCTAACATATTTATAAGATAATTTCTTTGTTTCTTTGTATGTCCCTCCCCCATGGTATAACCTCTGCTTTCACTGTATTTGATGTTGGTACAATTTGTGGAGGGGAAGGGAAAAAACAAATCGTTTAAATAGGGATACAGGTGGACCCATTGCAACAATGAGATGTACAAGTCATTATGTCGAAAAACGAACTTTACAACTTTGGTGGGGGGGGGGGGGAGGGGAGGATCCGATGGGGAGGGATAATGAGAAGGGATGGGAAGGGGAAACAAAGGAGGAGGGAACAATGCTTGACAAGAAATTTACTCGTTATCTTGCCCATGTAATTGTAACCCTTCTGTACGGTATTTTCACAATTAAAAAAAAAGTCAGAGGAAAGAATTCATCCTATTTCCTGCCAGTGTGCTTAAGGTGTCTTTGGACTTAAAGATTTTTACCATTGGCTCCCTTGATTCTTAGGCCTTAAGACACAGGACTTAGTCTATAATTATGACAAAGGTTTTCCTTGAGCTACAGTTTCTAAATAGAAAGTGGTGGAATTGCTCAGCTGCCCTAAAATATTTGAATCAATTCCTTATAATGAATCTCTTTATACATGTATGATATATTGTATTTCATACATAATATGTATTTTTCAAAAAATATATAGGCCATTGTTTCTGTTTCTCTGAAGAATTCCAATATACCTAAAAATGAAAATGAAAGAACTAACTCTACATAAATGTTCATAGCATCAAGATTTATTATCCAAAACACGGAAAATATATCCATCAACAAATGCATGTCTGTCTGTCACTCTCTCTCTCTCTCTCTCTCTCTCTCTCTCACACACACACACACACACACACAGAATCTTCTTTGGTCACAAAGCAAAGAAATTTAAATGCATGTTACAATAGGATAAATGTTGAAAGCATTTTTCTTAGTATTAAATTCAAAGGGACAAATATTGTTGAATTCAACTTATGAAAGATAACTGGAATGGGCAATATTTTAGACACAGAAATTAGGATGGACATAATAAGCTGTGAGGAGGATATGAAGAGCTATTGCTCATAAGCTACGGAATATAAACTTAATGCTACTAAAGCTTACAATTAAAATGGGCAAAATACTGTTTTATGTCACACGGCTTTTCATAATAAAAATACAAGTAGGGTAGCCAACATAAATTACTAGTAAAGCAAGTGTAATATACCCCAATGTAAGTATCTTTTAATTCGCTCTCCCACTTTTTTTTTTTTTTTCTGGTCCTGGGCCTTGAATTCAGGGCCTGGGCTCTATCTCTGAGGCTCTTTGTGCTCAAGGCCAGGGCTCTACCATTTGAGCCACAGTACAACTTCTGGCCTTTTCTGAGTAGCTTATTGCAGATAAGAGTCTCATGGATTTTCCTGTCTGGACTGGCTTTGAACTACAAATCCTCAAATCTCAGCTTCCTGAGTATCTAGGATTACAGGCATGAGCCACCAGCGCCTGGCTTCCTTCTACTTAATTTTGTCTTTCAACAAATTTTTTTGAATACCATGCTACTGGCTTAGAAGAAAAAGACATGGATAAAACTACATCATATGAATATATTCAAATAAAATCAAGAGCACTTATTAATTTGATTTATGAATGATATTTTTATAGAATTAGAAGGTAAGTAATTACCAAGGTATCCTTTCATTTTTGTAAATTATTTTGGATGCATTACTCAAATACTTTTTGTAAATGTTTCTGCTAGTAGCTTTAAAAAATAAATTATATCATTAAGAAAACAAACAGTTTGGTAACATGAATAATTTACATTTTACTAAAACAAAATTAGAAAGAGTAGGAATAATATTAAAATTATGAGATAAGTTAATCCTACCTACCTGAAACTATCTCAATTTTAACTTTGTGAAATAAGTACAATGCAATGAGTTGAGTCTAAAATAGAATTTTAGCCCAGAAGGTGAAATGTTTTGTTGTTATTTTACTTTACTTCTAGCTATAGATATCTGTTAACTCATACTCTCAATGCAGGCT